TGATTTTTATGATTTTGTTTAACTTTATGTAACTAGCCCTATGGGCAGAAATGCCATAATAAGGTGTCTATAAGTACCAGTTATTGTAACATGAAACATTTCTGAAATTAATTTATGTTTTTAAAGGGAAATTAACAGCAAGTCTATAACTTTTCTTTCTTTTTTCTACCCTGGCCAGTCTCCTTATATATATTGACTAGTAGATTTACTAGGCAGAAAATAAATAAGGATCCTGCAGGGGTTGCTAGGTAGTGATTACTGAAGTTGGGATGCTGTAAACTGGATATTTCTTCAATAAGATACTTTCTTGTAAATCACCCTGTAATCTATGGTTCTCTGGGGTGCAGCTGCACTGAGCAATGGTTAATCATGCAGCCTCCACTACGAGATGGGACTAGCAAAGTATAAAAGTTGAGAGATCCCAAATCCTATTTAATTCATCCTTTTGGGAAGCAAAACACATCCTGACACACATTAAAATAAAAAGGGACTGAAAACTAATTCTGATGCATATGAACTTGTTTCCAAATAATTTGCAGAGCTTTTGTGTGACCCTAAGAATTTGAAATTCAGCAGTCATACAATGTGTATAAGGTTTTGCTTTTCAAAAATTAAATCTTTATAAAAGTTGGGTAAGGTAGGTAGCATATGTATTATTAGCCACATGGAAGAAATGAATTTATACTGTGGTGATAATTTAAACAGTAGGAAATCTAGAGAAGCAACTGCTGTTTATATAATTCACATGTGAGATAGACCCTTAATTAACATATATTTTGCAGTTATCCAGCATGCAGCAGACAATTTAATGTGAACCTAATAAAGCTTAAGGTTCAGGACAATTTTTGTGCATGATTTCCTTTTTAAGCCCTCAAAAATTCTTCTAATAGTCATAAAATTGGTAATATTGGGCAAAATAAGTTACTGTGACTATGATCAATTAAGAATATTGCCTTTCTACACCAACTCTCTTTGCCATTCTGTCTTGTATTGGGTAGTGTGGAAACAGCCATTGAGGAGGAAATTCAATAAGGGATTTATTATTTTGGGGTTGTATAATATATTTACATGGTGAGGTATAATTATATAGCATGGATTTTTTTTTTTTTTGGGGGGGTACCGGGGATCAAATTTGGGTTCTTCCACTTGCGCAGCTGGAAGTGAAACCACTGAACCAAATCCTCGGCCGTAGCTTGGATTTTTATAATGAAGGATAGTAACCCTAGTGTATCAAAGTTTTTTTGTAATAATTCTATCATCAAGTAAGTATAATAAAGACCAAAATAGTACAGTGACAGAATTTGTATCATAGCATGTTTTATGGTGCCCAGAACATAAAATTTATTGGACGCAGAGGAGAACCAAGGTCTAAAATATATAGTCAGAAGATAATCTGGAAAATTTTCACAAATTTCATAGTCCACATATGAATCAAATGTAATACAGCTTTTCTTAAGTTTAAAAATAATCTAAAATGTTTATAGTACAATAATAATATGTAAAGTAAATATTTCTAAGCTTTTAACAATAGAAAATATTTTAGATCTAGCATATTAGAGAAACTTATTCTATGGGAAATTACAAAATTCTATAAAGAGACAGCCAGAGATTATAGCATATATATAGTAAAAGTATCATATATAGAGTAAATATATATGATATAGATACTATATCTAACTATATATAGTTATATAGCTATTAATGGAAATTGATGCATAAAATCTTTTCTTTTAAATATTTTACATATGATTAAATATATATTTCAAATAAAAGTTTGGAGATTATCTTTAACGTTGAAATGATGAACACATTTCAGACTGCAAAAATTTTAATTGTACAATTTTATGAATGTATGAGAGCAATCTATATTTATTTGAAAATATAATATTACCATATCTTGTTTAGTACTTTACACATGGGGAATTTAAACAACTCATGTCTGAAGGTTAATATGTTTATTTAAAAGTGCAAGAGAATTGTAGTCTGGATGGTCAAGAAAGAAAATCAAAAGCTTTTTCAGTAAAAGAAAGCAATTTAGAAACTAAGAAAGCAAATGACCAATCCAGGTAGACAAGATTTAAGTTTATTTATATGATTCATATCTCCCTTCTTGAAAGGACATTTACAAACTTGATTTGAAAAATAAAAGAAACTCTTAATGACAAATGTTCACGTTTTAATTGCAATATTACAAGTATGCTCTTTTGTGATAAATTATCATTTGAAAATGCTCCAGTGGAATCTGGTACCAATTAATTTAACACTTCATATAAGAAATAATAAAACATTTATTTTCAAGACTTACATATATTATTTAAAATAGATACAAAGTTCATTTTGTAGTTTTTAAATTTTACTGTTGTTTCAAGCTATCTCACAGAAAATATCTAGCAGAAAAAAATTTCAATAGTTATTAAAAAGTATGAATTTAAAGCAGTCCACTGTTATGTTACTTAGCTATTAGGTTGGTCAAATGATGAATGAAATTATCTTAGAAAGAAATAGTATTTACTTGGCAGGTAAAATCATATTTGAAACTACTGTAATATGCAAGTTAGAATCTCATTCAGGAAGTTGATTAAAATTTAACATTGCACAAATTCATAAATAATTGGTTCATTTCCAAATATTAACCTGCATTACTGAAGCACACTGACAACAATGGGATGATATAAGGTAGAGAAAATTTGTACACATCCACAAATGTTTGATGGATGCATTAATCTTTAAAATAATTTCTCATACATATTTTGCTGTCCAAAAATATAAACTTGCTTGTTTTCTACATATACAAGTATCTTGTGGAATCCTGGATTCTGAAAAGGAAATGTTGAGGTGTGACATTGAATAAAGCATCAAAATGCATGCTATTTTGACTGAAATTCAGCAAAGTTACTATCAACAGAGATGCTAATTGAAGTGTGCTCCCAAAAGTCTTCCAGGTTTTGCCTAAATTTGTTAGCGACATCAAATAATTGAACTCTTCAACATCAATATATACAAAGGCATTTTATTATTAATCAAAGAAAGGGAATTAGAATCATCAGAAATTACAACTTTATTTTTGTAATACATATATTTATTGCCATCATAGTTCCATATTTATCATAAAATTAGAGTCAAATGGGATTCAGAGATATGTGCAAGTTTTAGAAATGGACACATAGATAACAGTATAGAACTGTACATAAAATAATTACAATTTATTAAACACTTTTTTTTTAGCATATCCTTGATGGATGGGAGTGAGCACCATATTTTTATGAATACTTTCTCTCTTTTTTTCTACAGCACCAAAGAAATCCAAATAAGAAAAGTAGAGATGAGGGCCAAGGATCAAGAATCAGCCTTGTTCCATCTCAGCCACACTGTCTTAGAACCTCATGATTCTGAAAGCTGTTTTCAAGTGATTCTGCCCCCACAAGGGCAGCAGTTATTTCCTACACGGTAAAAGTTTACATAGCGAGTTATATTCTATACCATCCTTATTTAAAATTTGCATGTGGCATAAAATGGGTTGGTGGTACCAAAGTTTATATTCTGTTGATTTCATAGGTTCTTTCTCCTAATCTTAGCCAAGAAAACAAACTGGACCAACTTCAAATCCACATTTCTGATTCTGATCACCAAAGTCATTGATCATTACATCAATGATAGGTACTTGATCAATTTTCGGTGTATTGATTTCAATCACAGTCTTGTCATAGCCTTTTCTGGACTGTAAAATTAAGCAGAAATTAAAAATTACATGATAATTTAATATTTTAAATAAAATTGTTACTTTTTCTTATCTTTCTGAGTGGAGGTAAGAGGGTGAGAGACTAAAGAGTAGAAAACCATATTTTGCCAATGATATTGTAATTAATATTTTTATCACTGTTTCACTTGTAGTTATTTTTTTATTAAGTTAATTTGTACATTTTAGGTATACAATACAATTACAGTCATCATTGGGAACTTGTACCTTTATATGATGTATCTTGGTTCTTATTTTTTCCCCATTCCTCTGCCCTCTCTTCAACCCCTCCGCCCCTCCGTTTTAAAATTTGAACATTGACAATGACATTTAACATTTAGCTACAATTACTCAAATATTGTACTCTAACATATAGCATAGTTAAGTAAAATCTTGATAATTATAAGTAATGAATATAATTTAATATGAAAAATGATATTGGATCTCATATAAACACATTCTTACCATTATAATTAATATTATATAATTCAATTCTTTTATGAAAAAATATAATATAAAAATTATAATGCAGGAACCCTGAAATCAAAATATTTCTGCTATACATTAATTTTATATTTAACAATCCACTACTATGAGAAAGTTTTTCACAACTTCTGCTTCATGATTTTACTTTCTCATTTTTATTCTAGTGTACTACACTTATCTTGTTGAAATTGTGAATTTGTTAATTTATAATTTTGACTTCTGTTCAGTCATTAATACTTAGCTAGAGCAATTAGACATTATATTGAATTCTCATGTGTGTCAAAAACAGATCTACAGGATAAAGAAAACAAAAATGATAACAGTTCTCAAGCTGCTGTAGAATTGCTAATTAAGAAGTTCCATCTAAACAAAATAAAGGTATAAAACTTAATTATGTTATAAATGGCACAATTGTGATTCCTTTCTATCATTATAACATCATAGATTAAGGAAGTAAATAACATTATGGTTTTAAATTTCAAAAACAACTAAATATAATATTATTATTATATAATAACACAGCAGTATTCAAATCTCAGAAGTAAAATAACACATGATCTGAGAATGCATTTTTTATGGTTTCAAAAATGTGTCTATGTGTATATTTCCAAGTGAATGTGTGTGTGTGTGAGTGTGAGAGTAAACATTACTCGTTTCTGATAGTCTGTGTCTTATTATGTCAGTGTTCTGCATTATATCTTAATAATAATTGATATCCATTTCATGAGAGAAATCTGGCTTAGCACCAAACTGAGGCTTTCCCATCCTGCCTCTCATCTCTGTGCAAGAAGGCAGGCAGGGAGAGACCATACTCACCGCACAGCCGTCATACAGTGCTTTGATGTAAGGGTTGTTATCGTAGGACATCTCCTCATCATTTGATCCCAGGAACCGAAGTGCTTTGTCATAACTTCCTGATGACATATCATACCAGGCAACTGACTGATGACAGTTGTAGGTGAAATTTTGCCGAGCAGAAGCAGTCAGAAGTTTTAGGAATGTCATTTGTACCATGTTAATGGAATTTCCTTCAACATCTACATATGAAAGCTGGAAATAAGAATGAAAAGGCACATAAAACCTCTTTCCTAAAATCACCCTTGACAGTAAACTGCAGATAAGTCCACAGACCTACTTTACCCAAAAGGAAAGGCGTGAGGGAGAGTACCTAGAGATAGGGCTTTATGAACCCAGGATTGCACCAAAATGTCAGTTACTACTATAATCACTGCTTATATATGACAAAAATCACTTTATCTCTAGGCTTTGGTTTCCTAATCAGTAAATTCCAAGAAAATAATGATTCTGATTCCAAGAATTATTTCATTATATTTGTGTATCTTTTTAAAAAGGTGATGAAATAGTGAAACAATAAAAACTGAGAAATCTCAGTGCAATGTTAAGGTTAGCTGGTTTATGTTGTTGGATATGCTGACTCCTTTCAAACTTTCATAATGTATTTATTTTGTCCAAATTTTCAGTCATGTTCCTGCCTGTTTTATTTAGGAGCAATAGTTTTCTAAGGTGTCTAGTTTGGGTTCTTCAATATTCAACAGGGATATGTCTTTGTTCATTTTGAGATGATGTGGGAATTAACCTTTTTATCACCAGCATCAAATATAATGACCAAGACAACATGAGTCAAAGTTTGTTGAGTCAATATTTATTTTGTATGTATAGCAGGAAAATAGTCTTGGCTGTAAATGATTAAGACCTGTTCTGTCTCATTTGCACAGCTTATTTGTTGGGTGCAACTAAATTATCTGAACACAGGTGAACTACATACATCTAAATTTTTAAAAATTAAAAATTTTCTCAGATTGTCAATTTAAAGGCAACTTAAAGACTTTTCTCTTTATATTTCATTTTACTTATTCTTTACTGATTAACAGATCATAAAATGAGTCTCCTTAGTAGTTTAGAAAAAATTCTATTTGAGAAATACACTGTAAAGAAAATTAATCAAAACAAAGCCAAACATACACATACAGTTTTCTGAATATTTCTTTAACTCATACACAAATAAAAATGCAATGTGAATATTTAATACATATCTTGAAAACTGAAATAGAGAAAACTAATGGAAAACTTCATTGCAAGTCATTAATACAGATGGGTTTGTATAGGAATAATACATGCATGAATTGTCATCAATGGAAAATAATAGCTTTAAAAAAACCACTGAGTAGTTGCATAATTATAAGTAAGAAGGGCCAGGGATTTAGCTTAGTGGCACTGCACCTGCCTCTAAAGCGCAAGGTCCAGTGTTCCATCCCCAGTACCAATAAATAAATAAATAAATAAATAAATAAATAAATAAATAAAAATTTTAAAAAAAGAGAGTCTTTAATTGGAATAACTACTAATTAAAAGTAACTCAAATACATATATAGATTTTGAAAACCTTTTAATATAAATTTAATTTTGGTATCCCCTTAAAATATCTTTAAAATTTATTAAGTTGAGGTGTTAAATTTATGGAAATATTTAAGTAAATTTGCATTGTAATACAAGTAAGAGGTAATCAATTCACTATATTCCCTAAGATTAACAATCCGAAAAAAGCTGCACAATCCAAAAATTCTTATAGAAATAGAGAACTGAAACCAAACTAGTTTCAAACAGACAAAAGAAATAGGAGTCACAGATAATAAATGGATATTATGTTTTCATGCCTGATATTTTGAGCATAATCCATTTTAGGACTATATCAACTGTTAAATGAATTTATTCTTTGGTAATTTTAAAAATTAAATGTAGTATACATCCATTTACTCTGATAAAATATTATCCACTGCTTTAAGACACCACAGTGGTCTGACATGTACTAGATGGAGCAAACTAAGGAGCACATGGAATCATGCTTAATATAATCTAGATTTTCACAATCAGGATTGGGAAATCATAATTGGAGCTTCCTTTATGGAGTTTAAGATAAACTTTCATTTTGAGGTAATAACATACCAGTTTTCCTCTTTTAAATTCACTAAACCAACTTCCTGGTTTCTCCTTTGGCCATGATGAAATTCTTACCTATTGTAAAGGAACCAGAAAATTAGAAAGTAGGTGAAAACTATGAAAAGTATCATGAATACATCAGTAAATTTAGTATCGTTAAGAAGCTAACTGGCTTTTAAGATATTATCTCCTCAGTATTATACAACTAAAATAAATTTGACAGAGATCAATCCTGTCAGTTTCATGTAATGAAATTGAGCCATTTCCTTCCCGATCTCTTTACTTATTGAAAAAGAATGGGGGAACCAACCTGGTAAAGAAATATCAAGGACTGTAGAAAATATCAGTAGAACTCTTAGGTAATCCTTACAAAGAAGACCCTCAAAATGTCAGCTGGCATCGACTAGAAAGGCAAATAACACTGGCATTCTGTAGCCAAGACATTCTGAAAATATTTAGGCAGAAACTAAAGGCAAGATGCTTTGGAAAAGTCATTGGCAGGAAGAATATTTAGAATCTTTTAGAGATGTCCATTTATTGATTTTCTTTGTAACGATTAGCCAATTTTATGAGTTTATAAGGCCTCACAGCAGGGATTCTGAGTGACCAGTCCACTGTTCCACATTTCTTCAGGATTGAGGAGTTGGTTTCATTGCCACATGTGAAGTGAGATTGGGAGATGAAAGTGTCTTTGTTTCTTGCACCTACTCTCCACTTTTAAATCAGAAACTTAACTTTTCTTATAAAAAGATAAGCCACATATATTAATTGCTTTGTCTTGTGTAGTTTCTGTGTCCCAGTAAGCACATGGCATTTACTAAAGAAAAATGAGACCTAACACATGGAAAGAAAATAGACAGAATGTCCTACATATAAAATGTTCAAAAAATACTATTATGCTAATGAAAAAATCTTTCCTTATTTAATAATTTGTGTGTAACTTTAATGATAGAATTCAAGTGATACTGATACTACTCAGTGAAAATCAAGAAATTTGAAGAGATCACACATTTAAAACATATGTAAGTATAAAGAATATTCTTATTTTACATGAAAGATTAATTTTTTATAAAATTTTGTGATTTAAGCATAATATGCAGCTGTGAGTTTTACCATGTGGTAATTGGGCAGAAGAATACTATCTATGAACTCAAATTTGAAATTCAGCTATGCTGTGTCATAGAAAGTGATAGAATTTAAGAGAGCAAGCAGGTGCCTAAAGAATACATCTGGGTAAAAAAATAAAGGGAAGAAGTATTTGTTAACTATGAGCATCACTTTGCTGTCTTATTCATGTTTATGCAAATGAATGTTCTAATTACCCTGTAAGAAAAGCAGATAAATGAATATATGACAGTATAATTTTCCTGTTTAGTCCAATATTGAAAAAACATGGCAAGCACTGTCAACATTCACCACCTAAACAGATTGATACTTACTCCCTCAGATTTTTTGTCTGGATAAATGCAAGTCTCACCACCAGATGTGAAATTGCAATAAACTTTGAAGGAATCTCCTGAACAACCTTGGTTAGGATCAATCCAATATTCACCTAGGAGGTAGGGAAAAATGTTGTATCCAAATTTACTGACAGCACAAATCAAAGGTATTAGAAAAAGAAATAAGGAAAATGAACATTCATAGATTTGTTTCCTTTTATGTTTTTTGGCAAATTAAGATGTGTATCTGAACAGTTGGGAGAGACCTTATGTCTTTTCTGCCTCAAATCTTTGTAAATAGCCCACAAACTCAATCTAGAATACTTTTTTTAGGTTTTAGCATACCAATCCACTTTTAGGATTCACCTTAAACATAACTTCTACAAATAACCTTCTCAACTGCATGAACAACCTATGGCCCTACCACCTTGAATGAGTCTGATCTTATCAACTGCGTGTACATTAGAATCAGCGATAATTGAGCCTTAATTTCATATGTCCTATTTCATTTTTGTAATGTGAGTGTAACAATCCATAAATTTTTCTCCTGACTTATTCATCTCTAACAGTGGAAGTATCTAGTTAGTCTCTGATATCATATATTTACCTTATTTTATAGTGAAAATTTATTGTAATTTTTTCCTTTATTGAATAGGAACCTAAGAAGGAAAGCTATTTACATGTTTAAATTCAACATGCTATTAATGCCATTACTGAAATGCTGCAGAACAAATTGTATCTTGTGAGCAATCATAAGCATTATTTTGGTGTTACGGGAATAAGTATGGTAAGTAATGAGAGAAATAAAACGTCGTTCTTTACATAAATGATAAAAATGTTTTTGTGAACTGGAATTATTAGAGGATAAAACTGATATACATGTGATAATTACCCTGCTTTTTTCCTGCCATTTTTTTATTCTGCAACCTCAAGTATTAATTTGAATTAGTTCAATGTAATAATCATAGCTTTTTACTTTTTAAAAGTTCAAACAGCTGGGAGTGATGGACATGCCTATAATTGCTAGTCTGGGAAGCTGAGGCAGAAGGATTGCAGGGTCACAAACTGAAATCCAGCCTGGGTAACTTAGGGACTTAGTAAGGCTCTGTCTAAAAATAAAAAATTTAAAAAAGGTTGGGGTTGTAGCTCAAAATGAAGGCTCTGGGTTCAATCCCCAGTTCTGGGAAGAAGAAGAAAGAAAAAAGTCAAATTCCATAAAAGTTCTTAGTGTTAGAGTTAGCAAAGTCTACATATATCTACTGCTATGCATAAACTGAGAAAGTACTTTAACAGCCAACAACTTCCAATATTGGTCAGGCAGCCTGGACACATTATTTTACAAAAACATTCATCATTTTTTTGTCTTTTGTTTTTTAGACCAGGTCTCACTTTGTCTCAGTCTAGCCTTGAACTCATTTTGCAGCCCCTGCTGGCAGTCCTCCTGCCTCAACCTCCAGAGTACTAGGATTACAGGCCTCCATTACCACACCCAGATCTTTTTCTAATTATATCATCAATATATTCACATCTGAAACAAATTGAATTCCAGGAAAAGTACTCAAGTAACTAAAACTGATATAAGATTTCATCTAGCAGAAAAAGCCACATTGTTTTTAATATTTTGTTTGTAAGAATATATAATTTGAATTATTAGGGAAAATAATTTTATCTCACTTTATTCAATAAAAATTATTCAATACTCTTTCACATACTTTTATAGCTTTATCAAAATATCTTTGTTCAAAAATATTTTGGCACCATGTGGATATTATGTTCAACCTGTCTCATTCATCCACCTCTCATTTCTACTGGCTTTTTCCTAAACCCAGCCACCATCATATCTTTATTAGATTAGTCAATAGCATCTTAGCCAGATTCCTTTAATGACATTTCCCCTTTCCAAATCATGTCAAATCATTTTTTAGTTTGCTCACTATTGTTCAGCCACAGTGACATTCTTTCAGTTTCTTTTTTTTCATAAAGTTATCAAGATTTTGTATTCTTAATTTTATAAACATTCTATACTCTCTCCATAGAATACTCTTTTGATTCTTAGCATGGCAATTATCTTGTGAAGGTTGCAGCTTAAATGTTACCTCCTTATATAATAAGATTTTACTTCCCCAAAAGGGAATCATTTCTTATTTATATAAATATAGAATTTTTATAATTACTATCATAATATACTATCATATTTTATCCTATCTATACCATTAGATAATAATAGCTCAAGACCACTATTCTTTGTGTTCACATATGAATCTTTGCATGAAGAACAGTGCACTCTGCTCAACTGATAAGTAAATAAATATTTAATCTTATTTAAATAATACATTTAAGAACAAACGGACCAAGTTAATATATATAAAATACTGGGTACTGTAACCCACATTGAGCTTACCATTCCTAAAGTTTAAAATATTTTTCTCACCTGTGCTTGTTCAAAATCATACATGATTTTGTAATTCAGCATAGGCTGCAATCTTTTATCCTTGATTTTCAGATTACTTTATTCACCAAGGTCTGAAGTGTAAGAATCACATTATATAGGTACATTCTCTCAATTCTCATCTAACTGTCACACAAACTCAACAGGAATTTGATGATTGTCAAAGCATATTTAAACTTGTGTGCAGGAGAAATTTTCTGGCACAAGCTCAAGCAAAATCATCTAAATACTTTGTTTACATGTCACTTACAAGTAAGTGTCTTTCTATAAATCACTGAATGAAATGTATCTTTGTTAAAAAGAAAACATAATTTGAAGGCTTTGGGAAGCAGTTTGCTTTACTACCTGCATTTTAGTTTTGACAGGCTGTTCTTGATTAACATTTTTGTGATGTTTTTCTTTTATGATGGCTGCTTATGAATTACACAAGACTCTTCTATCTGAACTGAAGTGCTTGGATCTGTTAGAACATTCATTATATAAATGATATTGCAAGACAATATTTTCTTGGTAGTAAAAGGGGTGGCAAGATATTGTGTGATAAAATGAAAGATTTCAAATCAGATAAACATCTACCACTTTTTAGTTTAGTATTTATATAACTTTAGTCAACTAATTTAGTATATTTGAAACAGTTTTCTTCTCAGAAAAAAAGATATGCAAAGATTTTGTCAACTAATAAGTAATAAATTATCCTGATTATCATCATTAAATAAGTTATTTACTGTTGTTTTGGCTATTCTGAGGAATTAAAAGATAAATTTTTCCCCCAGATTGTCTAGATTCTTAAAGTCTGTTCACCAGAACTTTTTGGCTGATACAACAAATACTCATGTTATAAAGATGCTTAAGATTACCCATACTACTCATGTTAGTATAAAGTACTATTCACATCAAGGTAGCGATATGAATTAAAAATATCAATATAATAATTTTAATGCAACATTAATCATATTAATATATAAAGTAAGTTACTAATAACTATATGTTTCATAATTGTATGTATGTATGTACATATGAATAATATCCATTCTGTGAGGTATTTACAAGACAAAATGCATTTGTCGTAATCATCTAAAAATGATCTTGTCACAATTTGATAAAACTTTATTTAACAGACAAGGATTTCCTATGGCAGATCATCAATTAGGATGTGTAAATGACTTTTTCTGTCTGCAAAACTTGAATTAATAATGGTTTGCTTCGGTTTTATTTAGAGACTGTATTAAACATTTAATTAGAACTTTACTGAGCTGACAATGCACTTCAGTAACTTAGCAGCTCAGGACATTTGCCTTGTCATGTATTATTAACATACCATCTGGGAAGTCAGGATGGCTGAGTTGCAGGTCTTTGCAAGTTCGGGCTGGATTTGTCTGAGTACCCATTGGAAACTTCATATGCTCAATGTCTTGTTTCAGGGAATTAAGTGAACCAAATATTTCCTCCATTCCATCTGAATAATCAAGAATATTATCACCTGCATCTGCTTGCATACTTTCAGCATGTCTTCTGGTTTTTTTGGGTGACAAGATAGGTAAAGGCTGAATGACCTCGCCAGGAGGACCCTATAAGGAGAGATAATGTGAGTGCTACTGTTCAAAAAGTAAAATATTCTGAAAATTTTGTTATTGCCAGTATGGTTTTTGTTAGAAGGAAAAATGGCTGGTTTGACTTTTCAAAACTGCAAAATATACAAGTGAAAATATAAACTAATTTCTTCTAAGAAAAACCTAGTGGGAATATTGAAGTAGTTGCACAAGTCAGATGATTTCTGCTACTTTACACATTAATGTAATGTAGATCTGTGTTCACGTATTACATATGTTACTCCCTTATCTGATAATTAGGCCAAATTTGATGTCTTACATCCACAACTATATTTCAAAGGTTTTGGAGATTAGAACAGCATTTTAAAGGTCTTAAAGCTATCTACAAATTACTGTATTTCATAATAATTCATAATCTGAAATCTAAAAAATTTTAAAATATGCACATATCACATGATTCAATTTGTATAACTTAAATATTTATAAATTAACATTTTAAATAAATGCAGACTTGCATTTACATGTATGTAAGAGTAGAACCACAACAAACAGTCCATATGATTGTGGGTTAAATTGTATCTCACAAAAAAACAGATGTTGAATTCCTAAACCTCAGTACCTCACAATGTGATCTTATATGATAAGGTCATTGAAGATATAATTGCATGTCAGTAGGGTAAGATGGAATCCAGTATAACTGATATAAAAAGGGGAAAATTTAGAAACAGATATACATATAAAGGAAAAACAATGTGAAGAAACAGAGAGAGAATCTAACCTACAAACCAAAGAAAGAGGTTTGGAGGATAGGATATTTCCCCACACATATTTCTTCCCACCAGAAGAAACCACTCTGTTCACATTTTGATCTCGGACTCCTAGCTACAGAAATGCAAGGTAATTCATTCTGTTGTTTAAGCAAGCAGTACATTTTGTTATGATAGCTGTAGCAAACTAATACATATATAATTGGAAACATTTTAGCTCAAGAAAGGTCACTAAATAGTCTTTCGCCAAGACTTATATTTTAATTTCATAACTTAATAGTGTATGAAGCTTGGTAACAACTTAATAAATGGTAGCTATTATTATTGTTTTTATTACTACTACTACTATATGCACTAGAAAAAAATGGCTAGAATCTGAACATTTTTTTCTAGAGTCAGATATAAATTTATGTTTGTGGCATACAATTGGTTTCATTAAAATATAACAAAATACAGGTTCTTTTGAAAAATTTAGATTATTATAATATATAATTACAATATCTTTATATCGAACACGTGAAATAAATTCAAAAACAAATCTTGGAATATAAACATAATTACTTACTGCCACAATTATATTTTCTATAAAATCAGACCTTTGGACAGAATGTGTTTTTCCATATGTCTTATGAATTCAGAGAAATCAATGCCACTTTCCAGAAGCAAATTATCAGAACATCACTCTTAACATGTACTTACTGGAGGTCCAGGAAGCCCTGGAAGACCACTGTCACCCTTTTGGCCAGCAGGTCCCTATTGGAAGAAAAATGAGCTATGACATTAAGAGAAAACAAAGCAATGTAATAGGCTTCATTGAAAAGTTACAATGTCAAAGGGAGAAATACTTACAGAAGAGCCTTTATTACCCTTTTGGCCTTGAGGACCCTAGAAAATGCAAAGGCAAAAGCATAGATCAAAATCTCAATCATCTGTGTCTCTTTGGTAGTCTTATAACTCAACATTACCTTATGAAGTTCTTTTCTCTTGTACTTACTGGTAAGCCCGGAGGACCAGGTGGGCCTATGGGGCCAGCAGGACCTGGACTTCCCTAGAGGGAAAATCATCCAATTTAATGAGTTTTGCTCAGCTATTCCATTTTCCTGGTTTGCATAACAATACACATTCTAAAATTTAGAGAATTTGAAAATACTTAAGCATAAGATACAAAATTTCCATTGAGAATAAAACACAATTTTTACAAAGTAATTGAATATTTCCCATTTGGTATAAGCTTTAATATTATGTCTCTAAATAGAGATTGCATACATATATCTCTTCCTACCCTGCAGCCCCTAGAATAACATGAAAATCTTTTTGAAAACACCTTTGACTAAAGCAGGTTAGAATAAAATTGTTCTAAATTACTTAATTGATCATAGTTAAAGGAGTGTGATTGTCTCTGTGTGCACACACACACACACACACATGTGCGCATGCACTATTGGAAAAGAGTAGGAAAAATCATCTAGACTTTTACTCACTCCGTCCCCTTTTACTCCTGGAGATCCTTGGGTACCAGGGAGCCCTCTGTCACCTTTTTCTCCTTGCTCTCCTGGAGGACCAATCAGGCCAATTAAACCAGGATGTCCCTGTGAAAGAAACAGAGAAGCATTATTAATATATAAATTACAGCTCTCATTAATAATTCTAGTCATAAAATATTTGTACATCATATTCATGGAACATAAAAATGAACAATATAAAATATAATAAAGTAACTCTGTTAAATGGAAAATTGAGTTGAGACTCTGTCCTTACTTATCTGGCTCATTTACTCCCTAAATTAGGTCTGGTCTTTATTAAGGATGGAGAATATTATGGAACAAAATGCTTTCTAAAAATACCATCTTCAATGTTTCATTTGAGGGTCCTTCAACTCAAAGGACCCATTAACGTACATCCACATGTAATATTGATGACATAAACAATCAAAAATATTATTTTAGTAAGAATCTCATTTAATATTAAATATTTTCTATTCTTTAGGGAATGTGCAATCTTTAAAAGGCTTTTGGAGATTTAAAAATAATCCAAACAATATTAATGCCCTTCTTAAAAAGGCTTATTTTTCTATTTGATCCAACACAGTATAAATCCTGGGAGATCAAATTACTACTTGAAAAGTATTTGCAGTTTATTTTTTATTTTCATGTTTAAAAACATTAAATGGCTAGTTTGTTATTCCATCTGCTTATTTTCTGAATATTTAATTTAGTATAACCATATGCTCTTTCCATATGGTTTCTTAGGAGACATTGAGAAGACATAACACTGAATTTTGGTACATTTTCCATAATTACTTTGCATACTTTCTCTTTTTTACGTATGTCTGGGAAGCAGAAAATCCATAGCTTAGTTCCATGGTTAGAATGACAAAGACATTTTAAATTTCCTTTTCAATGATTTTAATCTCCAAGAGAAATCACTTCTCCTATTAGTATATCAAAGTGACAATAACACATTCTTCTCACCTTTTCACCCTTGAAGCCAGGGTCACCTTTGAGACCGGGTAAGCCAGGAGGTCCCTAAATAACAAAAAAGATAAACACATTGAGTAGGCAAGAATTAGTCATATTACTATTCACAATACTAGTATGGTTGTGGAAATACAGAATGTCAAAACAAATTAATAATGATTAGTACTAATTTATTTATCATGATTTTGTGTAAATCTCTATATTTAAAACTCCATGGTTTAATTTGTGATCATTTTATTAAACTATAACGTTGATAACATTTTCATTAAGCACAAGAGCTTAGAAACAGAATAAGGCTTACATGGATTTTTGCTGAAGAAGTAAGTTTTTGATTACATTAATTTTAATCAAAGGGATTAAATTATACACCCAGTCAATCAAATATTTCTACACTAAACTCAATTTCAAAGGTTACAATATTTTCAGTAAATTATTTTAAAACCCTCAGATTTATGGCAGTCAGTTCATCTTTGAAAACAACAAAAAAAAATTACATGAGGATTATTTTTTTGCTTAAATTCTTTTATTGGTACATTTTAGGTATACAATATGTTTACATTAATAATTGGGGATTTTAACACTGTTTTTGTACTTAAATATCTATATCTATATCTTAGAATGTTTTCTAACATTGCACAGAACAAGAATGCAATTTCTGTATGTGCAATTCTAGGCTACAGTGAATTTTCTAAATTATACTCTCATTTCTCACTCTTTTCTCTTGAAAATTAGAATTATTTCACTAAATTCCTAGAGAAAGATACATACTAAGAAGACCTAATAATTCCAATAGTACTGGGCATATAAACTTCTTATAAATATAACTTCAGTATTCATAACAATCCTGATGAAATAGCTATTTGTGTTCTGTACATTGTGAGAAACTGGGTGATTCAATTTACAAATATCAAAGCTAGAATTCCAACCCAAGTCTGTGACTCAAGTCCAAGACAATTCTACTACATAACACTGGACTCCTCAGAGTGACAAGAATGAGCAATTTGAAGACGGTGGTATCACAAGAGGTAACACAGAAGATATTTCAGAAGAATCTAAAGCAATTTAGCAAACTACTAAAGAAGCTCAGTCTCCAAAGAGTGGACCATACACATCCTGAAAGTTTCCAGGAGGAGAGGCTTCTACACAGAAGACAGGACTGTGAGAAGCATTCAGTAAGTGAATTTGAGGACAAAAGTCAAACCTTTTTGAATATAGAATTGAAAACCCTTACACATGAATCAGAAGTATCCTTGGTAAATTATCATGTAGTGTGTTTAATTGCCAAAAAATAAATATTTCAGAACAGATGGTATTTAATGATTTTTCCTACTCTTAATAAATTATTAAGAATTGAATGCTTGAAAAATCAAGGATACCAGAAATATCAAGGGATTTAGCCCTTGGAAGATTATGGGGAATAATCTATTGATTAAGATTGTATGTCACAGAGGCCTGAGAATTGCTATGGATTCTGACAGAATTTTAAGATGAGCAAATGTGATGCTATTCATTTTATTCACAAAGAAATAGAAATCCAGAAACATTAATTTTATGAAATCACAAAGCTTGACAATGGAAAAAGCAAAAATTCAACCTCAAGTCTGATGAATCAATGTTGTTTCCTTGAAAAAAATACTTTCTCTTTTATCAAATAATACAACATATCAAAAGTTAGGTTTTTTTACTCATTAGTTAATTGGTATTCACTCCTTGCTCCTCACTATATATTTACATGAAAATTCTTTAATTTTTGAAACTCTCGTAACAGTTGGGAATATTAGCATTTTCATAATTAATCTCTCACAATGATAATCTCATTTGTAACTTCTAAAATGAATTTCATATATAAATGACTTATAACTTAATAACAAAGAATCACATTTCTCATATATATATATAAAACAGTGTAATAACTTTATAATCATCCATATGTTGTTATATTTTAAGAAAATTATTATAACTATCTTGGTCTATCTTTCTGCTCATGTAAATACTTATATTGATGTTCTTTAAAGAAATTTTTTAAATCTATAAATTGATGTATTCCAGCTTGAAAAAAACCCACAAAATAAGCTTCACATTCTAAAATTATGAAACGAAACTATGCAAGCAGTAGATGCTGTTAGTAGAGGAGTGTAATTGACACTCAAAGATAATATATAAGTATGACTCATAAAATTAATGTCAAGATAATTTATACTAGTTACTACTAAATGCAAACAAGTAAAGCTCCAAGCGATTAAAGCACACTGTTCTGTGCCTTCTCTGTGAATTTCAATTATATTGGTTGAACTGAATTATTTGTTACATTTTAAATAGTGCTTTTGATCATGGTACATAGAAAGTAAATTGTTGTAACTTTTAGCAACTTACATCATGGGTCATCATTATTATCTCTTCTACCAGGCTACCATGAGTAATTCTTCCTCTACTAGAGCAACTGTGATTCATCAGTGTGAAAGATCATATAATATGCCAGTTCACAATTTTGTGAATTTAAAGTATTAGAGGAGATGAGTCTGATCCAAACAGTGTGATGTAGTGCAAAGAGCATGGGTTCAGCAAAGGATTGACCTGGGTAAAACCGAGTCGTCTTAGAAACTGATGTTAGCTGAGTGAAGAGCTACTGTTTGCTCATTTGCAAACTGGAAATTACAATTCCTATTTTATGAGGCTGTTGGGAGAATGGGTAGATAAGCCGTTCCCATTCCTTTGGTTCTGAACCCTACTTCCCTGACTGAAATACTGCATGTCAGAAGTAAAAACAATACAAATCAAACTTTCTCTTTGTAACAGTATTTTGTGTCATTTAATATACTTGTATTTGTTTAAATTCACAAATAAATTTCAAATTCTCTATAGATAGACAAGTGGGCAATTTACCTATATCATTGTATTAACAGGCAATTTTTTCCACAGGAAGTACATAGGGTGATCAAAATACAAGTGAATGTTTAAATTTAAAATATTATTATAGTGAAAGACACAGTCCCTCTAATCTCTCTCAAAATATTACTCCTTTCTTCAAACACACTTATTCCATCTTTCTTGCATTTTCTGAAGCAGTTTCTGAAAGTTCTGTTTCCTGTTGGGAGATGTGACCAAAATTACAGTGAATGTTTCTACCAAGTGCCATCTAATAGGCAGGCTCTTTGAAAACACTGTGGTTTGCTCTTATCCAACTTATTTACCATATCAGGCACTTAATACTTCTGTCTTTTTCTCACAGCCAAAATGACTATGATAGAAAATCAGTCTGAATTGATTCAGGACATCATACAGTGCAACTAAAGACACTCATGAAAGGACTTTCAGAACTGCTTTGGAAAGTGACAAGAATGATGGGATAAATGTGTTTGCAGCAAGAGGGAATACCTCGTCAGAGATTAAGGCCGATGTGTTGTTTCAGAATCGTAGAAAGAAATGCACAGAGACACAGAATTTGGGTAAAGTAACAAAAGCTTTTACTTGCAAGCAGGTAGGACCGCCAGAAACTGGACTGGTCAGTATCCATGCTGTCCTTTGTTTAACATTTCCTTTTATATCTTTTGTTTAGCCACTATCTCATTCCTGGTGGTCTTAGTCAAATTCCTGTTTCTCTTTTTACAACTAGCTCCTGTTAATGGTTATAGTCACAGACACATGACAAACAGATGGCACTTAAAACACATACATTGTAAATTAACTCAAACATTCCTAGTTTGTTTTCCCCAGGTTAAATGTTATCTCAGCTGAGTTACAGGTCAAAGGGTCAGTTACCCATCACCTTAAACAACAAAAGTTACGGGAAAGGTAAATCTTAAAGGAATGCATTGTTTATTCTACTTCAGCTACCTTAATAACTAACTTACTTAAACTTTTCTCTATCAGTGTCATTTACTGTAATAACTTCTAAAAACATTTGGACTTTCACTTTAGTTTTTGATCACATATCCTCATATTGCAACTTTAAAAATATTTAACAATATTCTTCTATAAGGATAATTTTATTAAAATACCTCTGAAGAATGGATTTCAACATTGCACTTTCATCTAGTTTAGGATAACCTGCAGTGGTGAACCACAATCTGTGGTTTTCAAAGCAGCAGCATTAGCATCATCTGTGGATTTGTTAGAAAGTCAATTCCTAAACCTCATCCAGACCAAATGAATCAGAAATTATGAGCTAAATTCCCACAGTCTATTCCATAAGTTTGTTGCGTATTAAGATGTGAGGCACATCGCCATTACCAGGCCCTATATTTAGTCAAATCAACACACAAATTAGAGCAGCCTGAAGGATGTGATATACCTTAAAATAAAAACATGGCCTATTTAGTTTACTAGCTTACTCATTTTACAATTGATATATTTTGTATCTACTTTTTTATATGTGTTTGTTTTGAGACAGGTATAGCTATATATTTTAGGTTGAACTCACTATGTAGCCAAGGCTTGCCTCAAACTCACAGAAATTCTGTCTCAGACTCGTCAGTTCTGGTATTACAGATGTGCTCCACCCATTCCTGGCTGTACCTACTTTATTTTCATAGTTTCAGAAATATCTGTGAAATCAGCCATTATAAAAAAAAACTTTGCCAAGAGCATCTTTAAAAGGCTTTTATAAAATTCCCTAATAGCATCTTTAAGGAAATAATATAAATGTGTACCAGATGCAGTCAAATAATAGTTGATTGAAGTAATATTACCATCCGAGGTGGTGTCAGACACAGTGTTAGGACAAGGTGGGAAAATAGTTTTAAAAATATAATTGTGTAAAAAGAAACATATGTACCAATAGCAGAAACTATTTAAGAACATTCGACAAACTTGACATATAGTAAAAATCAATATAAAAATATGATTAAAATATGATACTACTTTTTCTACATTCTCATTTTATAATCAAACTTTCAAGTATGTGATACACTACGAAAGTTTTGCTCTGGGTGAGAGAAGTGATACAGATGCCTTCTTGGGCATCAGCATTTCACTCACTTTTATAGTCAACAAATTATCAAGTCTATCATCTCATTCTTTGAAATTTATTCATAATATATTCTAAAAAT